ACCCAAATGTCACTGTGCTGAGAACCTCCTAGAGCCCAGAGACAGGAACAAAGAGCTATAACACCAGAAATGGGGCAAGACCACAAGCACCAGCAGCAGAGAGGAAGCAGCCGAACCAGGAGACCAGTGTGAGATGGTGGGCTTCCCAACCCTCCAGGCAAGGGAGCCAAGGTGAGTGTGGCAATCTGTAGAGGGAGGTAACAGAGTGTCTTTGATCAAGAGGCTTCCTGGCAGAGTAGGGTACCCCTGGGTAGAGTGAAAAAGGCTTTCTAACACTTGTCCTTACCTGACAGGGCAGAAGTCAGGCAGAAAACGGCCTACCAAATGGCACAACTGAAAATCTGTCCTGTGTCCTTCCTGACCCTGATTTATGTAAAACCTGTTACTTCCCTAATAAACTCTGTAACTGTGAGTATGATCTGTGAGTTCTGGGTGGCCACTGCACTGAATGATCAAGCCCAGCAGAAAAGTAGAGAGTGCCGTGGGAGGAACATTAGTGTCAAAACTGATTTGAAAATTTGTAGGTATATCTGACCTGATTTGGCACTATAGGATAAGCACTGGACTGGTAATCAAAACACTGGTGGTTCAAACCCACCAGCAGGTTCAAACTCACCAGTTGCTCCTTGGAAGCCCTATACAAGGTCTCTATGACTCAAAACCGACTCAGTAGCACTTAATAGCAACAACATCTGACCTCTGCCACATAGGAATCAGCTTTAGACTGTTGATGCTGATAATGATTCTCTCCTTTCCCTTGTGAAGTCAGATGAGGAGGTCAAACGCCCCCACACCGCCATTTTTACAGGCCCCAACCCAGCTCTCTTGGCTGGGTTCCCAGTCTGCCCAGCTCCCAGGAGTCCCACCATCCCCACAATCTGAGCCTCCCACTTCCAGCACGGTGCCCAGCAGAGGTCTGTCATGTGAAGGGGATGGATCAGTTGCCCTCAGGACATCTCTTAACCCTTCCAGCTCTTGGCCACCTCCAGCCGAGCAGGGGTCCCCTGCTCAGCCCTGCCAAGATGGAATCAGGAGAGGTGGGAGGAGGTTTGGAAAGAAATCATTTTTTCAGCAAACAAGAAGTATAGACACTCGTGGGAGGACCCAGTTATCTGTGGGAGGACCTGTTTGTCCAGGAAAGGAAGCAGCTGGCCCGGTGGCCAGGGGACAGTACACTCATAGATGCTGCACCATAAAGGCCTACTCCACCACTCCTATCTGCTCTTGATGCAGGGCGAGACTCACCGGGTACAGTGGTTGCTGTAGGTGTGGAAAAGGGAGCAGGAGATTTTATGAAATTCTCCTGGAACACGGAGTTTCAGTAAGTCTACCTGCATTCAGTTACTGATTTCACAGAGGTTTATTGGGTGCCTCATTGCAAAGGACCCCAGCCTGGCTAGACACACAAAATTGGGATATCGCCTGCTACCAAGACCATAGCAAGAGAGGAGGGCTGAGTGGGCAGCAGCAGGGGGCAGAGGGCTACACAGGAACCAGCAGCCAGTGATGGGTAGCAGAGGGCTGGGACGGAAGCAGTGGGTGGCAGAGGGTGGGAAGAGTATTCGGGGGAAGGGCATTGGAGGTTGCGGTACTTAGGCTGGACCTAGAGGTCCTGTCCAGGTGGAGGTGGAGAAATGGACATTACCAAGAGAAAAGAGAACAGAGGGAGCAGCAGGTCCTATACAGAGGCAAGAAGGCACTAGCATATCCAATGCATTAAAAGGCCAATGGTGGAGATGGGGTCTGAGGACTGAGGCCCTGGCAAGGCCAACTGTTCTGCACACACCTTCCCCAGGTATGCCCAACTTGACTGTCTTCCCACATTCCCTGCAGTGTGCCCCACTCCCACCCATTTGAAGCCTAAGTGTCCACTTCTCTGGGCCTTGGGAGATGGTGCCTACCTCACCACCACCCACGAAGCCCCACACAGGGACAATGAGGGGAGTGGTAAGAGCCAGGACAAAGGTCCACCAAGCCCAGATAGTTCTATGAGGGCAGTTCCAGTGATGATGACAAGGGCTCCTGGAGCAGGGAAGCCAGCAGAGCCAACCCTCACCAGCTGAGCCTAGTCCAAGCTACCAATCCTTTCTCCAGTCTTTCTCCAAGTTGTTCCTAGCCACCAAGTACACCCAGTCCCTTTGCCCCTCCTTTTCTTTGCCGGGGCCACCCTCTGCTGGAGTTCCCTGCAGGAAGGGGGCTCCACCAGGACAGCAAACAGCAGCCCCACGCCAAATCCAGCCCCACTGTGTCTCAGCCTGCTTGGTGGCTGAGAATGGTCCAGGGCTGAGGTGAGGTGAGTGCAGCCTCAGGGGGCGGGAAGGGGGAAGTGGGGAGGGACTGCCCTGAAGTAGAGGGTTCCAGACCTGTGTCCCAAGGAGCAGTACCACCTCACCCTCTAGTCTTCCCACCTGCTCAAGGAGCTGCTTGCCCCAGCTGGGCCCACAAGTCCTGTAGGATGTTCTGAAAGTCTGAGGCGTGAGGTGGCCCAGGCAACTGAAGAAGCCAAGGACAAGTATCACCATCCCAAGTTCTCTGAGGTTGGTGGCGAGGGGCGTCAGGTACTGCTGGGTGGGGCCAGGCCTGCAGAGGGGACCCACCTCCTACACATACACCACCACCACGAGAGAGATCCCAGACAGTAAGGAATGGTTTTCCCAGACCCAGGTAGCTTTTTCATTTCTAGAGATTGAATATGGGGTGTCCCCATGACCCTGTCCGAACTCCTTTGTGTGTCAGGGACATGAACAGGAACCCTAGACTGACACCTCCCAGAAATCAAAGCATCAGGACTGGAGAGTTTGTACAACAGGTTGAGACTCCTCCTCCCACCAGCCTCTGGTCCTTACCCAGAAGCAAAGGGGGCAGCCCCATGCCCTCCCCACCCACATCTTCTGAGAGACTTAATAAGCAAAAGGCCTTTTTCCCTTCTTCCCTCTACTCTCCACCTCCAGCGAGGGGGGAAGGGAGGGGAGGGTAAAGCATGGCAAACCTGCTAACTCAGATGAGCCCTGAAGTGGGGGAGGGGACGCGAGAGGACCAGTGGGAGCCCTTCCCCCAGCCAGGTTTGGCTCACAGAGAGTCAGCTCCGGACGCTAAGAGGCGGTTGGGGTCGCTGCTTCTCTTCGGATGGGATGGTCCCAGGCGGCAGCCCCGCTGAAAGAAAGAGCAAAGGAGTTCCATCCGCGCGCCCCCCACCCTCTGCATACACTCCGGGTTTTACCTGCTGCGAGTCTAAAGGGAACATCTCGGGCGGTAGAGGGTGCAGACAGGGCCGCGAACACCAGAGGGGGGCCGCCGCCTGAGGCAGGGTGCCTACCACACGCTCCCTGGGTCCTGCCTGGTGGGTAGGGCGGGGGCCGCGGGTCCCGAAGCTGACTTCCCTACGCGCTCCCTAGCCGCTGGGAGCACTTGCGCTCTCGCCACCCCGCACCGGGAACACCCGCCGTGGCCTCGGGAGCGGCTTCCGTCCCGGGAAGAAGTTAGCGGCTGGGTCCCGGCGGGCGGCGCACGGGACGGGACGCTGGCTACAGCGGCAACGCTCTCGGGTCGGTGTCCGACCCGGACAAGTCCCCACGACCCAAAGGTACCCCGGGCAGCTGGACTACCTAAACGTGGCACAGACGGTCGCGACAGGACCCAGGTCTGACCTGGAGGGCCACACGGGCCCAGGAGCAGCGGGGTTTGCTCCTGGGTTGGGGGACCCCAAGTACAGAAACTTCCCCGTACCCGCAGCCCCTGATCCCCAAGTCACCCGGAGCTGTGTCCCCGTGCAGCCAAGGACCAGAAGGTCTCCGACACGACCACAGGGCTGGTCAGAGCCCCGCGGAGTTGGGGACTTCCTCTGTCCCCCAAGAAGCCTCAGCCCACGTTCACAGTTGAAAGTACGCACTGGGCGCGACCGTGAGCCTCCGCGGGGAGTCGGGCCACCGTGCTTGGGGTCGGCGCGGGTGGCTCTGCTCCGGTACTCCAATCTCGACGTTCCCGGGGCGGAGAGCAACGTCCGGGGACGCACGGGACGGGTGCGCCCGGCTGGCCCGGCTGCGCCGGGAGAGGCCGGCGGCAGCAGGGGAGCGCTCGGCGTTCAGGCAACAGCTACCCCTAGTGGGAGAGCCGCCGGGCGCCGCCGCCCCGCGCCCCTGCCCCGCGCCCGCCGTCCGCGCCCGGGGCGCTCCGGGCCGGCGGGGATCCCGGGCGGGAGCGCTTTCCTGGGTCTTAGTCCAACGCCACCGGCCCGCCGACCCTGCCCTTCCACCTCTGGGCCGGACCCCGCGGTCGCTGACCCCAGAGCGGCGGCGCCGGGCGGGCACGCGACAGGACGGGGCGGGCGCGGCCGGGGCGGCGGTCTCCTGCTGCGCTGGGGGCGCGGAGAGCGGAGCGCTGTGTGCGTGGCGGGCGGTGCGGGGGGCGGCGGTGTGCGATCGCGAGTGTGAGCGCGCGCGGGAGGCGGCGGGCGGGCCGGCGCGGGCTCCGGAGGCGAGCAGCGCCCGCGGGTGAGCAGGCAGGCGGCAGGGACGCAAAGTTACCTCCGCGCGGGCCCCGCGTACCCGGAGGGCGGGAGCTGGGGCCACAGAAACAGCGGCCGCGCCCCTGGCTCCCGCGGCACCTGGGCAGCGGCCCCGCACGAGCGGCGGCGACGTGGGCGGCGTTGGCGGCGGCGCGCGGGAAGCGAACCGAAGCTCCGGCGCTGCAGCCCGGGAGCCGCTCAGGTGCGCGGAGATAGGGGCGCAGGCCGGTCCAGGGCTCCAGGGCGGCACGGCGTTCTGTTGCTGGATCTCTCTGCGGGCGCAAGCCCTGGCCCTGCTCGGGTCCCCGCGGCCCCCGCCCTCAAGAGCGCCGCGCCCCCAGACCCGCCCCGCCAGACCCGCACCCCCAAGCATTGGCCGCGCCGCCGGGTGCTCCCTCCGGGCTCAAGTTGCAGGGGGCGGGCCCGGCCGGAGGTGGAGTCTCCCGCCAATTGAAGCCTCGGCTATAAATCCAGCTCCCGCACAACCAAAGCCCAGATGCCGCGCCAGGCCACCCCTCGGTCGTTGGCCGGAGCGGGCGGCGGGACCCAGGGGGTTCGGGGGGCAGCGGCCACCATGTTCCGTTCCCTGCTGCTTCACTCGCTGAGACTCTGCACCCAGACGGCCTCGTGCCTCGTGCTTTTCCCGCGCTTCCTAGGCTCTGCCTTCATGCTCTGGCTGCTGGACTTCCTGTGCATCCGCAAGCACTTCCTGGGACGACGCCGTGGGGACCAGCCTCAACCCGAGGTGGAACTCAACAGTGACGGTGAGGAGGTGCCCCCCGACGACCCCCCGATCTGCGTGTCAGACGACAACCGCCTGTGCACTCTAGCGTCGCTCAAGGCGGTGTGGCACGGACAGAAGTTGGATTTCTTCAAGCAGGCGCACGAGGGCGGCCCAGCGCCCAACTCCGAGGTGGTCCTGCCCCAGGGCTTCCAGAGCCAGCACATCTTAGACTATGCACGTGGAAACCGCCCACTGGTGCTCAACTTCGGCAGCTGCACCTGACCCCCGTTCATGGCGCGCATGAGCGCCTTCCAGCGCTTGGTCACCAAGTACCGGCGCGATGTGGACTTCCTCATCATCTACATCGAGGAAGCGCACCCTTCTGACGGTTGGGTCACCACAGACTCCCCCTACAGCATCCCGCAGCACCGAAGCCTGGAGGACCGCGTCAATGCGGCACAGGTACTGCAGCAGGGCGCGCCGGGCTGCGCTCTGGTCCTAGACACCATGGCCAACTCCAGCAGCTCAGCCTATGGCGCCTACTTTGAGCGCCTCTATGTCATCCAGAATGGCACCGTCGTGTTCCAGGGCGGCCGTGGGCCCGACGGCTACCAGGTGGCAGAGTTGCGTACCTGGCTAGAGCGCTACAATGAGCAGCAGTATAGCGCTCAGTCTCGTCGGGTGTAAGCAATGAAGGACAATTGACTGAACTTGGCGGGCTGTGCCTTCGTGCCTTCGAGGCCCACGTGCAGGCACCCCCAAAAGAAGGCAAGCTTGGCGAGGCTCCAGTGGCACGTCTGCGCCGCAGGGTGATTCTGCACCCTCAGCCAAGGCACTGAAAGACTCTCCCTGGGACTCTGTTTCTGGTTCTGGCTCTTGCCTGTACCTGCCTGACTCGCTCTAAATCCACTGCGAAGCGTGATGCGAAGAAGCTCACCCTTGCCTGTCTGTCCCAGGACTTGTCTTCACAGATGCCTCTGCAGCTCTTTCTCACCCCTCCCCAGAGAGAAGAGGCAGAGCACCTTCAGTTAGAAGCGGTGACCTAGCGCCTGTCGGCCTTTCCTAGCGCAAAGAGAACTTAGAAGCGTCCGTGCGCCCTGAGCGCACGCTAGTTGCCAGGCACCCACACCTGTTGCACGCGAGGAGAGGGATGCCCTGTTGCTTTTGTGTTTGTTTCTTGTTCCTGAGTTGGGGGAGGGTACGGGACGTGGGAGTTGGGGAGGGTGGGCAGGGTAGTTTCCCCTCTTTGTTTTTGGTGCGCTGGAGCCCCACTGCTGATGACGAACTGTCTCTAACTGGTCCTGACCACGAGCTGACTCCGAATTGCAGGGGACTTGTACAGCACATAAGCCGAGAGGGGAATTTGCTCTGGATTTCCGAGAGGAAATCACTCTAAAGGCTATAAAGAGGGGTTGAGGGGGTGGGGGGAGGCAGCTTCGGAATGACTGGAGAGGCACTAGGGAAATTCGCAGGGACCCACAGTGAGAGAGGAGTGTGGGGTTCCGAGGGACCTGGTGGAGTCCGGGGGAAGGGAGATGAGGGAGAATTTGGCAACTAAGAGTGAGGGGTCTCCTGGGCAGAGAAGCCCTTTGCAGGGCCAGCAGGTGAGGGCTCCTGGTGCTGGAGGCTGTTTGGTGAGTGTTTTACTGGGAATAGCTTCTGTATATAAACTTCTTTTACGTTACAACAATAAAGACTTGGGGAAAAAAAACCCTGCTTTCTGGTTGTCTTTGGTCCCTAGATTTCTTTTCTCTGTAAATTGTGGCAGAAATTACAGACATCTCCTCCTCGTGTCCCCATAGTGACCCTGTTATAGGGAAGGAAGAAGCTTTGCTGGCAGTGGTTCAGGAGAATAAGGAAAAGGGAGAGGTCTTCGCTGGGCTCCCGCACTTATGAACACACACGCACACAGTGGACATCCTGGGGAGGGAGGAGGGGTCCGCCAGTGTCGGTGCGCATACAGCACTAGTTGTCCAGCGCTGACCGTCTAACAACCTGCGGCAGGAGGGAGAGCGGGGTACGCCACCTCCATGAACCTAGCCGCCCCAGCCAGCACCTGCGAAGCAAACTCCACCTCTAGTTCCTTGGGGGTTCGCGGAAGGCGCACGGCAGCAATAGGGATGAGGACCAGAGAGGCCAAGCAGTGGAGCCCGGGAGCACCCTGAGGGCGCGCCCCACCCAAGAAGTCCCCCCTCCCCTCTGCGTACCTAGGCTGAAGACCCGCCTCCCTGCCACCCCCAGTAGCTCTAGGCTGGGAAGACGAGGGCGGCGGGGTGGGGAGGAGGGGTGGGTAAAACCCTGAGCGCCGTAGGGGCTGACATTGGATGCGGACTCCCGCTCTGTGGTTTGGGCCAGGAGCCCCACGCCATCCCTATCCACACCATCCCTTCCCTCTCCCCGCCCCCACACACACCCCTTAGTAGGGGCCACTCCGAGAACTTAGAGACTCGGGGCCTCTTCCTCCATGCCCTTCGGGAGACACCTGGAGCCTAAACCTAGCGAGGATCCGGGCAAGGGAGCGGAGGCTGGAATCCGCGGGTCTGAGACCGAGACTGGGGTGTGGAGCATCCCGGGCCCGTGTTCTCGGCCAGCATGGGGAGACTAATGTCTGGTGTCAGCGCGCAGGCCTGGGGACTCTGCATGGGCGAAGGGAGCGACGACACGGGGAGCAGGGGTCCCGCTCGGACAGCGCCCCTACCTCCGATTCTGCCCCCGCGTTGCAGCTCCCAAAAAACTTTTGGAACACCCGGAGTTTGAATCTTATTCTTTTTATTGTTTGTTTGCTTATCTCATTTTGAGTTTTTGCTTTTAAAGTACTTAAACTGAAAATAACTTTTAAGAGAGCAAGACCAACAACAAAAAAGGCACCGATGAGCTTTCTGCAGCCCCGCCCCACCCCATCCGCGCTTTTCCCCTCGCCTACAAATCCTGCTCGCGAGGAGGCAGCGCTGGGGGCTGGCCCGAAGGGGCTCGCCGGTGAAAGCGAGCGATGATTGGGCCCAGCGGCCTCCAGCCCTGCGGAGCGCGCGCCGCGCCGGGACCTGTGGAGCCTGCACTGGGCTCTCTGCTCTGGCTGACTTTCTCAAAGGAGTCGGGCATCACTCTCCCTCTTTTTTAAAAAAACAAAATTTATTTCTCCTCCCTCTCTTCCTTCTGATCTGTCTCCTTTTCCCTCGTTCCACTTCTCTGTTTTTCTTTAGTATCTCCCCATCTTAAAAAATGTTAAGTAGCTCCTTGTAGAAAGTACAGACAAGTCCGCTAAGAAAATAAACCAAGACCAGGAAGCCTCCTTGGATGTGGTCATTTTCAAATTCACCACACTTGTATATAATACTTTTTTTTTTTTAAGAACAAGAGTGGCTCATTCATCTGCGTTGTAACCTGATAGCCACTTTTGACTGTCAGCATCTTCCTTCAATGCGACCCTCTTTCCACACACCCCTCTTTCCAGGTCAATAACAAGTCTTAAATGGCCCCATACCAAGTCATGACAGTTCACCTGGCTGCAGGTTCTGCAGGTATTGGGGATTTCTGGGGAAGATGCCTCTGTTTACAGCGCTGACCCCCTCCCCGCTTCAGTACACTTCTTAAAGTGGAATTACTAGGTCAACACACAAGCACACGTTTAAAAGTGTCTATTTTGTTGCACTGCCTTCCAAAAAGGCAATTTGATTCTCACATTATGTTTTCCCCATGTTCCACTATTAGGGTTTTGGAGGGGGAAAAAATGCAAATGTGTCCATGAACCAATTCTCCATATTAAGAGTTAAATACAGACGAGGGTGGAAGTGAGAGTTCAAACCTGGCTTAGGAGTTTCCAGTCCCATCAGGCCAAGTGGAGTATTTTTGATGAACTAAAGTAAACTAAAATACAATGAAAATACCACCATGCATTTCACCTAACATAACTATAAACAAACAAACAAACAAAAAAGAATGAAGGAAGGGAAGGAGATGTGGAGGAAGGAAGAAAGAAACAAAGGATGAAAAGAGGAAAACACTGGCGGAAGAGAAGAAAGAAAGGAAGGACACTCACTGCCTTTGAGCTGATTCTGACTCATGGAGACTTCATGTGCTTCAGAGTAAAAGTACTCAATAGGTTTCTGAACTGTCATTAATCTAACCAGAAGCAGGTCACCAGACCTTTCTTCCAAAGTGCTTCCGGGTGGTTTTGAACTGTCAACTTTTAAACTTGTAGTAAAGCACAAACTGTTTGCACTCCCCAGTGTCTGCTGGCTGTTGTGAAATGTATTCCTCGTGAGGAATCAAAGATATTTGAGAATGGAAAGTTGCCACTGGAATGGTTCTGTCCCCATTAGTCTCATCCTAGAGATAGCCCTGCTAACTGGGGTGGATTTCCTTTGAGAAACCAAGTTCCCATATTGTCAAACATACATGAGCACAGTCCCAGTTTCCCCATAATGGAGGTCCTGCTGTGCACACAGGCCCACACCCACTCTTTTCACATGCTGTTCCCTTTCCAAGCACACTTTTCTCATCAGTCTGAGCAGGTCCACACCATATGCTGACTGTTTGATGACTGTGGAACCTCTCTGAGGAGCTCTCAAATAGTACTCAGGAACTTGGGAAGAAGTAAAGTCATGCAATCATTACTCTTATTGTTACCATCACTGCCATCAGTATTATTTTTGAGGGCTAATGTGCACAGGAATCCCTGGGTGGTACAAACAGCTAACCACTTCAATGCTAACCAAAAGGTGAGAAGTTCAAGTTTATTCAGAGGCACTTCAGAAGAAACGCCTGGCAATCTACTTCCAAAACAAATTAACCATTGAAGATCCTAGGAGCACAGTTCTACTCTGGTACACATGGGGTCTGGTCAGCATCAATTGGAATTAGCTCCCTGGTACCTGGAGGCACCGGTTTAGCATTGCACAAGAAGGGGGAGGGGCTTTAGATAAGTTTACAGAGGAGATGTATTTCATTCTTGTTATGGATTGAATCGTGCCCCCCCACCACTCCAAAAAAGATACATTGATGTTCTAATCCTGTGAATATGACCCTATTTGGGCCTCAGGCTTGACTTTGTTATATTATTGAGCCCATATCAGAGTAGGGTGGGTCCTAGGCCGAATCACTTCTGAATGACAACGCAGACTAGACACGGAAACCACACAATTGTTGCTGTTGTTAAGCACCCTCAAGTTGGTACTGACTCATAGCGACCCTGTATATGGCTTCCAAAGAGTGGCTGGTGAGCTTGAACCACCAACATTGCCATTCAAACCAACCTTGCAGTCCAGCCTATTAACCCTCAGTGCCACACCAGGACTCCAAGGAACACTCACAGAGGAAGCAGAAAACCAGATAAAATCAGATGCGTCTGCAAGTCCAGGAAGGCCAAGGATTGCTGGTGTGACGCTGTGGGTTAATGCACCAGACTGCAAAGCCATTTGAACTGCAAGGTCAGTGGTTCAAGCTCACCAACTGCTCCTCGGAAACCCTATACAGGGTCTCTATAGGTTGGAACCGACTCGGCGGCACTTAACGACAATGATAACAACCAGAAGCTGATGGGGACAGTACTGGTTTTAGAAATCAAATTCTCTCCTTCTATGTGGGAAGCCCCGCTCCGCTGCCCGACAATGTCCCTCATGTGCCGTCACCATGTGACTGTCAGTAGTGGGGAAGAAGAATTGCTATGATATTAAACAGATTTCAATGGA